TGCACCCATATTTATAGCAGCACAGTTTGTAATAGGTAAAGCTTGGAAACAGCCCAAGTGCCCATCAAGTGGAAACTGGATAAAGAAGATGTGGTTTTTTTACAAAATGGAGTATTACCCATGAAGAAAGACAAACTAGAGACATTTATAGCTAAATGGATGCATATTGAAGCCATAAACTTAAGTGAAGTAAATAGGACACAAATGTAAATAGCAAATGGTTTCTCTGGTGTGAGAAACTGAAAGTGTAAATAAGGATTAAAAGCATTAAAATGAATAATTGATAATGTGAAATTGGAAGAAAAGGTCCAAAGCTGTTAGTGGAAGTGTGAGGGGTAGGGGAAAGGCAAGAAGGTAAAGGAAAAATTATGTGAAAAGGAAAAATGGAAACAAAGTCTTTGTATAGGGAAGGGTGGAGGGGTGAAGGGAGGACAGGTCATGGGGAAAAATAAGAAACAAGATGCATCATGTAAAGGAACAAGTACCCAGTGATAAATGCAAATGTATTGTATACCTAAAATGTACCAATAAAAGAATTTAAGGCAAAAAACAGCAAATGAGTGGATTTTCAAAAAGAATCCAACTACATATTGTTAAATTGAAACTCACCTCAAACTAAACACCACACACACACTGAAAAACACACTTTGCAAATAGAATTCAAAACATCTGGAGAGCCATACTTATGTCACTTAAAAGAGAACAACATTACCTTGATACCAAAACAAAATAAGGATACACAAATAAGTGAACCATAGTTTGACATCCTTGAAAACAGCTGCAAAATTTCTCAGCAAAATTCAAAAAAGTTTAACCTAGAAGCATATTAGAGTTTATTCAGAAAGACAAAGTGAGATTTATCCCAGGAATGAAAGTATAATTGCTCAGCACATGCACATTAATAACCCAGACACCACTTCAACAAAACAAAAGAAATGGCAATCAGAAGTAAGGAGGGGGCAGAGAGAGAGAGAGGGAGACAAACAGATGCGGGGGGGGGGGGGACGACACCGAAAGAGAGAAACAGAAAGGGAGGAAGCCAAACTTAAAACTTGAGAAACAAATTGCTGGTACTAATACATTATTTCAGCAAAACAGCAGGATGAAAATCCTACATGAAACTAAAAATAATATTGGCTTATTCCAATACAAAATTGTCTGAAATAGAAGCTAAGAAAGCAGTTCCATTCAGCATAAATGCAAAAAAGACTCTGCCCTGCCAAGGAAACAAACAACAGATTGAAGACCTGGGGAAGGAGAGAAAATGTCTGAAAACTATACTATTTATAAGGAATTAATCTCCAGAATATACACGGACTTCTAAACAATTAATAACAAAAACAAACTGATTAACAATAGTGAACAAACTAAGTACATATTCCTCAAAAGAAAAAATATAAAGGACCAATGATATATGAAAAATGCTCAGTTTCACTGAGGAAAATCAAATCAAAACCACATTTACATATCTTCTCAGGTCAGAAAAAATTGGTTTATCAAAAAGACTAAAAGGAGACTGGAAAGAATATGGAGAAAGGGGAAGTCTTCCATACTGATGGTTGGAATGTAAATGGATGCAAAAAATATGGAAATCAAAATCATGCTCCTCAAAAATTAAGAATAGGACTACTACATGATCCTGCTGTCCCACTACCAAGTACAGATTCAAAGAAAAGAAATCAGTATGCTGAAGGAGATCCCATAGTCCTTGTACTGAGAAATGGAAACAAGTTATGTGTCCATCCTGAATGGATCAAGCAAATGTGGTGTGTGCACCATGGAACACTAGTCATTTGTGAAATCTTGTCACATGGGACAATGCAGATGAAGCAAGAAGTCACTATATGAAGGACATAAGCTCAGTTAGAGAAACAATTACAGGATAATCTCACTTATCCAGGAATCTAATGAAGTCAATGTCCCAGAATTTGAGAGGTGAACAGTGTTCCTGAGAGGCTGGAGAGAGTAGGGAGTGGGAGGGTTGGGGAAGGCTGATGAATTGTTACTAAGTCATTGTGAGGACCAGGAAGTGCCACACTCTAGGATGACCACAGGTAACTGTGTATACTGTATTCTTCAAATGGGGGAGAGAATGGATTGGAAGTTTCTACTGAAGAGGGACAACAAATATTTGAAGAGGCAGGCTTGTTTAATTTTAATTATTACAGAAAGTGTAAGTTTGTGCTTGCATCGGAGTAAATCTTTAATATGTACTTTTTTTTACATTTTCGTTAATCACTTAAAATCACATTTAATTTTTAAAACTGTAAACACCTTGGTCCCTACAGGCAATTTAATGTCTTCTTCCATAAGACACTGGGACAAGAAACTGACCTATTCTCAGGAGGAACTATCTAGAGATCACAATGTCTTCATAATTGGCTCCAGATCTCCTTCAGGACTCCAGCTAACAACAGTTGAGAAGGGATAAGTTGCTGCCTTTGCTATTGGATGTCACTGACCCATCCAAGAGAGAGTCCCTGTCACCAGTGCAGGAGAGCTTCTGACCTGAGGACTGGCTGGGAGCCCGCAGCAAAGGACAGGGAAATCCCCGAAAGGGAAGTGACATGGAGGGACTTTTAAAAGATGAGCTGTTGGAGAAGAGATTTAGAGACCTCCTTGTTTACAGTTTCACTTCTGTGAGTTATGTGAGAGGAGTAATCACATGGTGGTGTTCCCATGCCAAAGAAGGAATCAAGGTAATTTGGAACACCACCCATGTGAATGTCTTCTTCTCCATTTTTCCTCCCCTGCCTTAGAGATGTTGGACAAATTAGAACATTACTCAAGACAGAGGGAGCTCCTCTCATAGGACTTCAGCAATATCCCCTGGATATGTTTCCTTTCAAATCACTCTTCTATACTGAGTATTCTTTCTCATTTAGCACTCGGACAAGCATTTATATTTCATAAACCTTGTAGTGAGAAATGTCATTTAAACAAAAGCAGTCTCATAACTATACTTATGATGAATTATCAAAAAATAAAGGTGTTTTCTAAATATATTTGTAGATGGTGAGGCAAGCCATTTAGACTTTGGTGACTCCTATGAAAAATAATGCTTCTTAAAATTTGAACAAACATGAAGGTAGATGATGCTTTGAATGATTACTGACATTATCTCTTTCACCCTGTGTTTGTATCTTAATTGGAGTTTCAAAAATGCACATAAATATAAATTCAAAATAAAGAGATGATTTTCTTTAATTTACAAAGATTCCTAAACATATTAACATAATCTAAACTGCTTATTCTTGGAAGGTGGCTTCAGTCCTGAGTCTTTCTCCTACTATTTATATTTCCTTGCAGCATAATTTCTCAATTCTTCATTGTAATGATGGAGAGTATAAGAATATTGCACATAACGCAGTATGGTATGTTTATACCATATATATGGTATATATGTGCCATATATGTTTACCCTGTGTTCTAGAACATAGTGTAAGTTAAAAGTAACCCTGTGTTTGAAGTTTGGTGAACAGAATATCTTCCTGGGTCTGTTTCATAAATTTAGGCTACCAATGACTTAGAAAGGTTGGTAGAAAGTATTAGTTTTGGGTTGATATCCTCCAAAAGACTATGGTTTAAATAAGGAAATTTTAAATAGTGTTGTTACACAAGAAGAGTTCAAATAAAAGATTTAAAACAAACAACTTGCTTCTAAAACGCACTCCTGAACTAAGCATAGCCTATAAACTAGACAGTTTCAATGCTTGCTCTCTTTGAGTTTGCTATGTGATGACCATAATGAATGAGGGACTGAGTTGAAGAACAAAAGAATTTCTCACACTGGAATATGGATTTCAAGGAAGCAGTTTCTACAACAATGACCCATATGGAGTTGCAGCACCTGGATTCACCTACGTGGAGTAGATCAAGACACTGAAGCACTGGAGAGCACAGAAAATCGCAGAGTCCTCTGTGGGGGAAAAGGTAAAGTGGGAGGGAAACTGAAGACTTCAAGGCTGCCTGCAACCAATGCCCTGTGTGTCACAGACCTGGGTCACAGCTTCTTCCAAATCATTATTCCATCCTAATAATAGCATGACAGCTGCCACTCATCAGGATAATCTTTACACCCATCATTTTAGTGTCCTTTAGTTACTTTTTCATTCTCACAATAATGCCTGAAAGTCAGTCTCATTGCTCTATTTATTGGGAATGTTATGTTCACTGTAGGTCCTGGAGGACTAACAACTGCTAGGTGGTAAATGTGCTCTCTGGTGTGTGTCCCTTCAGAACCTAAACTCTGCTCTGCTGCATCTGCTGCTCCTCCTTTTTGTCATTGAAGAATTGATCATTTCATGTTTTTTGTGTTATTGGTTAGTTTAAGCTCCAGATAAAATGAACACATAACCAATAAGTCAGTTCACTATAAAAACTGAAGCCTGAGTTTTAAAGAAAGGAGAAAATTAATTAGTATAAATTCAGTTAATTTCAGTTTGACTTGAGTCACTTAGGGACCCATCAGCATAGGTCACATTTCACTGTGTGTGTGGAGTAGAGACTGCCATTCAACATCTGTGCAGCTGTGAACGAGTGACCCAAGCCCTGTGATTCATAGTTTACATAAGTGAAACAAGAAATCCAAACCACACTATGGCTGGAGGGAGACAGTGGATGTACATCCAAAGTGGAGGGACAAGTTTATGGTAGGAGAACAACTTGAAAGTGTCAGATTTTACTGTGTTCAGGAGGAGCGACTCTGCTGACAGATGCATCCAAACAATTTTTGATCAAGTTACTGTATTAAACCATCTGTATTTCATTTTAAAATTTAAACATTTTTAGTTGACATAGACGGTCCATTAAAATTTTAAGACTTTAAAGCCTGTAAAACCACATACAATTTACAAAACCAGCTATGTTTTCAAGAAAATACTTCCAGAGAATCTTCATTTACAAATTCATCTAAGATTACACACTACATATGGTGCTTGTACTTTCTGATTTCAGCTCAGTTTCTTCATGATTCTGTATCTGCTTTCTCTTTCTGACAGCACATCTAGAGGTTCTGGACAGCACTGATGGAGAACACAACACAGGTGACCAAGTTCCTCCTCTTGGGACTGACCGATGACCCACACCTGCAGGTTCCCCTCTTCATCACCTTCCTCCTCATCTACACCATCACTGTGACTGGGAACCTGGGGATGATCCTGCTGATCCTCTGGGACCCTCGTCTGCACACTCCCATGTACTTTTTCCTGGGCAACCTGTCTCTGGTGGACTTTGGATACTCCTCAGTTGTCACTCCCTCAGTCATGGGTAGGCTCCTGACAGGAAACAAGATCATTTCCTACAATGCCTGTGCTGCTCAGATGTTCCTGTTTACAGTCCTCATTTGTGTGGAAAATTTTCTGTTTACTGTAATGGCCTATGACCGCTATGCAGCAGTGTGCAAACCCCTGCACTACACCAAAACCATGAGGAGCAGTGTGTGTGTAGGTCTCCTCATAGGCTGTTATGTCCTTGGTTTACTGAATGGCTGCGTCCACACTGGGGAAGCCTTCAGTCAGTCCTTCTGCAGCTCCAATGTGATCCATCACTTTTTCTGTGACGTCCCACCAGTCATGGCTCTCTCCTGCTCTGACAAACAGGTTAGTGAGCTGGTTGTTGTTTACGATGTGAGCTTGCAAATTTTTTTTGCAATGTTGGTCATTTCAACATCCTACATCTTCATTTTTGGCACCATCCTGAGGATGAGCTCAGTTTCAGGACATCGCAAGGCTCTGTCCACCTGTGCCTCCCACTTCACTGCTGTCTCCATCTTCTATGGGACAGTCATCTTCATGTATGTGCAGCCCAGCTCCCATCACTCCATGGATACTGATAAAATCGCCTCTGTGTTCTATACTATGGTGATCCCCATGCTGAACCCTATGGTCTACAGCCTCAGGAACAAGGAGGTCAAACATGCATTTTTAAAATTCAATAGTGCATTGATTTGTGGGAGGCACAGAAACGTGTAGGATTTTGATTGTAACTTTGTGAGATGAACCTTTTCTGCATTTCTTCTTTAAGTACTTTTCCAATAATGATGTTACATTTTGAGGCCTATATTAAAATTAAATCATCGTTCATAATAGATTTGTACATGCAAGTTGCCTATCCCTTTTCTGAAATATGTGGGACCAGAAGTGTTTCAGAATTTGGTTTGAAAACCACTTGATCTGCAAACATGATAGCTACTATTGCTTTTTTTGACAGGTTCCTGTCACATGGAGTAGTGTTTTCTACCCTTTAACTTAAAAAGATCAGACCTCCCAAATTTAAAGACCCAATCCGAAAATGGGCATCTGAAATGAACAGACATTTCTCACACAAAGAAGTAGAAATAGCAAATAAATACATGAAAAAATGTTCAGCA